CTTTGTTGTTTGCACACTTTAGTTCCTATCAGTATTTTTCCCTGACATTTTACCTTAATTCCCATTTTTTATTTTTTTATTATTACTATTATTATTAGCTGGAATAGCTGTATTTTCCTCAAACCCATTTAAACCCCTCATAACTTTTATGGGTTTATAAGTCCGTTTGTACCAATGTTTTGACCCATCAGACACTTCAAAATGCACAATGTTTCAGGGGGCTGAAGAAGTAGAGCCAGATTAATGTTTTTTATAGGCTATATATATACCAGATTGTTTGTTCATTTCTGTATCAATTTCTGGTCCATTTAGTATGTTCAATTGGAAGTGGTATGTGGGGAGGAGAGTAGGGCATGCGTGGGACAAACTTAAAGGTCTCATATAGTTGACTGAATCAAAACAGAGGATACATGGAAACAGTGACTTTTAAACCTTTTGAGATGACATTATTTGTCTTCCAAACTAAATAAAGGAGTAAGGGAAAACTGTCAAATAGGTCCTCGAACTTTCATAAAAAGGTCAATTAAGTCCTTCTATAGGAGGTTTTGTCCGGCCGTCGCGATTTGGGAAAGTTCCCGGTGGAATTTTTTGATGAAATTTTTTAAGCATCTTATTCACCAAGCCTAGTTTACTCATACCAAATTTCAGGTAAAAATTCAATCGGGAACACATTCAAATTAATTCTTGAAGATAACTGCGCATTTTTGCGTTCTCGAATTAATTTGAATGCGCTCCCGATTAAATTTTTAGCTAAAATTTGGTATGAGTGAACTAGAGTTGATGAATAAGATGCTCAAAAAATTTCATCAAAAAATTCTACCGGGAACCGCCCCAAATCGCGACAACCGGACAAAGTCTCCTATAGAAGGACTTAATTGACTTTTTTATGAAAGTTCGAGGACCTATTTGACGATTTTCCCAAGGAGGAAAATGGTGTGGTTTTGAATGTTTGATAACTGCCATCAACTTTTTAACATAGCACTCTCTAAGTTCTAAGTGTTGCATCTACATGCTCCAGTTGATTTATTAGAAGAATAGTATACCAGCTTTTGAAGATCTAGAGGCAAAACAAATAACATTTTAATTCTTACAAGATATCTTCTTAACTATCTAAAGAGTCCATCCAAATGCATCCTTATTATCTTGTAAAAAGTCATTTGGATTATATTAGGGGCATACATACAAATACAGCTGTTTATGTGATCATTCTGAAAGCCAAAATAACAATTTGTGAGTGGTGATTCATAGTAATTTATCTTCAAACAGATTAGACGATAAAGTTACATTCTTTTTTTTTGTTGAATGGGTGTTAAGATGTAACCCAAGATAAGAAATTGTGAGTTGAGACCTTTATTTGTAGTTGAAAAAAGAACACATTTTAAAAGAGCCTTCAAATTAAAATAAGAGAAATAGATTCTGCAGGTGCTTTGAAAAAGATTATATGTAAAATTCACCATTTAAAATATCAAAACAATAGTAATGATGCAGCTGCTTTCAAAAACATATAAATTGTTATACATATTTTAGTTATTACCTTATCCATGTTATTAACAGAGAGTATCTACATTTGGGGCAGAGTAGTATAAGGAAGTTTTAAACATTTATGGGGTTTAATTAGATTAAAATAGCCTAGTGAAAACACCCATTTTCATTCCGGAAAATATACCTCCTGCATCCTTGAGCCCCCCCCCCCCCCCCCCCCCCCTTTCATGGTATAAAAACGCCTTGATTTTTCCGTTGAACTACAACTCCAATTTCCTGCCATCGTGTTCCTTTCTTCTACTTAGAATATGTTTGTTTAATGTGCATTCAGCTAATGAACATATACTACTTTTTACTATTCATACTAAGAAGGAGCATAACTATGAACCTTTAAGAGTAGCATGAGTCGTAACATCAATACCACCCAATAAGGGTCTCTGAAAAATGTTTTTAAGTAACCTGCTAAAAATCTCTGTGTAAAGTCATTTGAATAATAATAATAATAATAATAGTTATGAAGCGAGATAGAAATCGCATGAACATTGGTTAGCATGTTTGAAAATATGCTTTAACAGCTTTTAGGCGTGTTTCTGAGTTGTAACTTTGTTCGGCCCCCATTGGCACACTCAAAACAAAAGAGAAGTTGTATTTATTGCGACAGTCCATTAATAGCACCCAGATGATAATAAGACTTGGATAGTAATAAGCTTAGAAACTAGAGCCAAGTTTTTGTCAATGTTAACTGTCTCATGTTGTGTGAATCCTGCTGTAGCATGACAAGTTTTATAATGCTTGATATTGTTATCACATTTATATTTTATTATAAAATAATAGGAAAAATTTGGAAGACATTTTATGTGTGTGCAGGTTTCACTGACAGCCTGTATAATCTTTCATTTTCATACAAAGCCCGCACGTGAAATTGGATATCAGAGTTGGCCCTACGAAGTATGCAAAAGAGAAGATTTTACATGGATGATCCCATCAATCTCATAGATTGAAATTATACCATGTTCCAAGTTCCAACAATCATTACAATATTAGTTTGACATTTTGACCATGGTTTAAGTAGCAACAAATAGGTCTTTTATGGAACAAAACATATTTAATGCTACATATGGATGGATATATAACTCACACATTTTAGTTCTGTATGAGTCATCTTCCTATTTTGTTGCACTAATCTATTTTTTTGTACAAACAGAAATCTCTTTGAACCCATGGCAAGTTGGAGATATTGCTTAATTGGCAACATCTTATCTTACAAAGTGCAATACATAAAACAAGAGATCATCCCTTTTCAGGTGTTTTAACAAGTAGGGGTTGATGCTTATAAAGGCCGAGCAAAGATTTTTAACTAGGGGCTGACGTTTCCCATAAATTTAAGTGTAAGAAAATAATGTCAACCGTCTTTCACCAAAGTTCTCTAAACAATCAATTCATTAAGCTAAGATTTTGCTTTTCATTTTCTTTCCTTAAAAATATCCCTCACTTCCTTAAGTAAATGATGATATTACATTTTCTAAAAAATAATTTAAGTAGAAAGGAATTCGTTTTCTTCATGAGAGCTTATGTTTTTTAATCAAATATTTCATTGATTAATATTTTCTATATCAATTTCATTGGGCATCTACTCAATCGCGCAACGCGCGTGTAAAATCTAGTACATGTGTATACAAATTGTTCACACGCTCAAACATGCACAGTTCTTATTAAAAGAATGACACTTATATGACATGACTTTGGTGATAGAAATATGACTATTTCCCACCCAAAGACTTTCTTATTAAAACAATGACACTTACATGACATGTAGAGTTTGTGGTGATAGAAATATGACTATTTCCCACCCAAAGACTGATACGTTCAAATCCTTAATTTGTTCAAATCTGCCCTCCAGCCTTCTCCGGAAACCACTGCCAGAATATTGTTGGAAAAGTTGTTAGGAAATTCATTGTAAACGTCTCCAGAATCCGCTGTCCGAAACTTTCCCAAAATTGTTGCCATGAAAATTGTTGGAATTTACTTTTGCTAGTCAAACATGCGAGACAGGGTCATTGATTGTTGCATCCACGGTTGTGTAAGTGGGAGTGACCATCACGAAGTTGGTAAAGAATTTATTTGATCGATGAGGCAGTTTAATTCTTTCCATCATTTTCAATGGAGCCAAAGACTCACCATTTTTGGTTTGGGAATATGATGGAATAAAGTAAAATGACTCACTAAATAGTCTGCGCTACTTTGTTATGAACTAACAGTCAGTGTATGCAATTTTCGACGCGAATTTCACTATGGGTCATTCGAAAACAGTCTCTTCGTGCTTTAGTACAGAGGTAAGACTGCGTACATCCGACCGCCCCCTTAACCCACCGTAGGCAGGAGCCTTTGCGGCACTAGGGTAATGATGATGATGATTATGATCATAGATACATAAATCGCTCTCACACCCGCGAACTGCGTTCCGAACGCCGCGTACCCAAACGCGGTACGAAAGCGTTCCAAACGCTACCCGGATCGCTCTGTAAAACGCTGCTGCAGTCGTTCGCGATCGCTTCCCAAATCGTTCGCAATCGCTAGCCAGGTTCTTCCCAAACGTAACTGGAGTCTTCCGCAACGACATACAGGTCGCGCTTAATCGCAAATCCGACAGTCACGATAGCAGCCCTACCAATCGCGAACAGTGTCCTCGTTTCCTGCACAGTTAACATAAATAGGCACGTTTGTTTGAAACTTTGAAACGAGTTAGCCTCTTCGATTTCCACTCCAGGTAATCAAATTACGAAGTAAGAACTCTTCATTCTCGTCATTTCCTATGCAATTTAAAAAGTGTACGCACGTTCGTTTTTTTATGGAATATTAATGTTTTTTTTCTATTTTAAAAAAATGTTTTGACTTGTGATTATGAAAATATAAGATGGGTACACCGCACACATCTTAATATGTGTACCAAAATATATGGAATATTAATGTTTTTATGGAATATTAATGTTTTTTTTTCTATTTTTTTAATATGTGTACCAAAATATAAGATACAACGTTTGGAACATGTGGTACACCGTACCGAACGCGTACCGGAATGAACCTACCCCCCTTCGAACCGGATACGTTAGATCTAGCGAACCGTGTTCCCGTTCCTCGTTCCTGTTTCGAATCGTTCCGCGAACCATGTGACTAATAATGATGAGGCAGTTTCATTCATCAAGGTAAAGACGTTTCACAAAGGTTCGGGTCGAAAGTGACAATTGCAGAAGCTCACAGATAAACTGGAACATAACCTCATAAATGATGCTTTTACTTGGTGCAGTGGTGCTTGCGTGAACCTTCTCAGTCAACCAGATACCATATTTGTGGAGCTCATCAAAAGCCCTAAATGAATGAGAAGAAATGTCTAAAGAAAGAATCAAATTCTAATAAATGTCACCAGGAAGAAAAAGGAACCAGATTCTTCTGAGATTAGATAACTTACCTCTTCCAGGCTAGCTATATATATATATGGATGTTGAGTCCTGGCATTCCAAACAAGTGATCAAACAAAACCAAACATCTAAGCTCAAGTTACTTTCTGTATTATATTGATTCAATGGCATCACAGCAGAGCTACCGGGAGGTGGATGAAATCATTGTGTCTCAAAAAACCACCATAGTTACCAGCCACAAGGTTGAAAATGAGCAGCACCACTCTTTGAAAGACAAGGCGAAAGAGGTGGCAGGGAGAGTGTTTCACCACAATCACCAGACACATGAATCTGCTGCATGCATTGATTCAAACGCAACATGTGAGAAGAAAGAGGGTTTGGTGGGCAGGGTGAAAAGCCAGCTGAAGAACTTAGGGAAGAAAAAGCGCAAGGAAGGAAGCTGCGAGTGTGGCAGTGACAGCAGCAGTGATGAGAGCGGTTGCGAATAAGCAGATAACGAGGTTCTTATGGATGTTGCTCCGTGATTCCCGCACTTCGCTAAATTCTTAAGTAACAAATATAATGTGTGTGTCAGTATGTGTGGTATCTTTTGCAGAATAAATGGCGATTTTTCTATGTATCTAATAAAAGCATGTAAATGCCAGCTGAAAGTAGTCTGAAACAGCTACAAGTTTTTATGTCATTGTTGATACCTTGAGCAGTTGAGCCCCATACCATATAGGTATTTTCTTATAGCAACGCATGCCTTCAGCTTCCAAGTATTAGATAGAATATACTACAGATTTGAACATCGATCCCAATCTAGACTGAGTATTTGTTGTAAGTTATATCCTACAACCGGATGTACCTTGAGCATGGTGCAACCGCTTCCAAGTATTAAATAGAATATAATACATAATCCAACATCATATTTTAACACCGATCCCAATTTAGATTGATTATTTGTGTCTTGGTTTAATTGATTATCTTGATAATTCCCAATATATATATATATATATATATATATATATATATATATATATACAAGAATGATCAGGTCCCCACGTTCGGACAGGACCCTCCGTCCGAACATCCTCGTTTGGGGTCCTTTACGGTGGAATTTTTTGATGAAATTTTTTGAGCATGTTCCTCATCAAGTCTAGTTTGTCCATACCAAATTTCAGCTCAAAATTCGATCGGGAAGGCATTCAAACACTCAAGCACTCGTATCAATTTTATAATTGCTCATTTTGCATATGAAGAATGCATGTATAGTTCTGTTCAACTCAATTCTATATTTGTATACATGCTCATTTGGTTATGAAAAAATTCACATATTTACAGAATACTTATTTTACTCATTTGGAGTGTTTGCAATAACTTAAAAAAAGCACTTCCCAGCTTTTGGCTTAAAAAACACTAATTTACCAAACACTACCAATTTTTACTTTTTCTCGGCTTGCGTGTGAAAAGTGTTTTTCCCTTTTACCAAACACTTATTTTACCGAACACTACCAACTTTTACTTTTCAAAATCACTTTTTTCTCAAACACTATCAACTTTTACTACTTATCATTTTTTCTCAATCACTCCAAAAGTGCTTTTTTTAAGCAGAAGTAGTTGCAAACACTCCCTAAGCCAATGCCCCTACCGATTAGATTTACATGAGCCGAAGGGCAGCGCTTCCCATGAAAGAAGGCTTCATATTTTCTAGATTAGGAATGCTCAGCTTTATTAAGCATCTCTTTTTTGGTGTTACAACCTTTACTACAAACGCACAAGAAAAGAATAATAAGTAGGTAATTTTAAAAAGATGAGAGTTTACTTTGAATCTTGACATGTCATTGACTAAACTGGCTGCATAGAATCTTTGATTTCTACATAGACTTCCAACAAATGGTGCCGTGAATTGATAAAAAAGATGGAATAAGTGGTGATGAAACAAAACTATATATACAATTGAATATATACCCTTTCAAGTTGGCTATTGGTAGGAAATGAGATTCAAAGGTGCTGAAGTAGCAACATATGCAAGATATTCTCCAACCACTGAAAAACCGGAAGTCCAGAAGCTCCCCTGGAAAACTGAGCATACAAAAAAGGATCTACCAGAGAAAGGAAGCAAACGAAAACAGTCAAAACACCATGAATGATTATTTCTCAATATGCACAAGAAACTGACCGTCAACTGTCACATATTTTTCAAATTAGAAACAAAGGTGGCAATAGCATGACCAGCCAGATCTTCAATTCCTTCTTGAGTGGACTCGGTCAATTGCAGATGCTTCTTTGCAACCTTGAAGGAATGGTCACCACCATCAATCACATGTATCTCATTAGCACAACTCATTTTTTCCCTCACAGCTTCAAGTTTATCTAAAGGGCAGAGCCCATCTTTGCTACCCTTCATGAGAAAAAGTATTATGTTAAACATGACAAATATCTTGTGATTCCAATACACTCTTAACATTAAACTCTAAACTATACACTATGTATGATCCACATTTGTTTTTCAAACTTTGCTGATATACAACAATAAAAATATCATTTCTGTTTTTACCAATTCTTTTCCCTATAGTTTTTTTACAAAGAAAAAACGTAAATGGAACAAGTAATAAAATTCTTCCCAAAAAGAAATGCAACAAATACAAAAACTGAGCGGTACTATACATGGCAGCCAAAACAATGAATACTAGCCCGAAACTAGATATCTAAGCAATAAAGACGGCGCCACACCATGCACACAAACTTTGCAACTGATCAATATCCACCCATTTGTCAGATTCCATAATTTGTAGCTTTAATTTAGAAAGATAGTTATAGCAAATATCTCAAATTCTCAAATTATTTCCATCTCGAGACATTTCCCACAGAAGTAGGTCTAAGCCATTACCCATGGTTATGACGGTTTTGAAAATTCATCTTATTATTCCTTGGTAAGAAGGTTGTGACAAGAACGGCGTGCCGCACAAGCTTCTTTACGGAATACTCCTTAGAATCATACAAAACCAAGTTCTTGTACCTGCACAAACATCACCGGAACTCTAAGCTGTAGCAGTGTCTCATCTCTCACAGTGCCGTTTATTCCCTGTAATGAAACCAATCATTTATATTAACAGAAAATGCATAAGCCTTTCACAATTTTTTGAACATGTATCTTCTCCGTAATGATAAACTTTGCTCTTTCCCAGTTCACCACATCTTTGATACTATATGGAAGTAATTTCTAGTTTGATGTGATATGGAATTATGATTTCCTTTAGCTTTCTTTGTATGTAGAGTATCATCAAACAATAAATAAACTAACAAAGTTCACATATACCATTTGCCATAGCCACTCTAAATTTTAGAAGATACAGCAATACTTGGAACTTTAAAAGAGAATTTGGAGCATAACAAGCATCAGTATTAAACACATAAGGTTGACCTTTAGAGGGTATCCCAAGCATACTACAGCACAAGCACCAATGTCCTTGCCAGCTACCATGCAGCTGACCCTACATAAAGTAGCATGATCCAGAGGCGCAGACCAGATTTTTTTAACAATAACTCTCAATAAGTAGCCTTCCACTTAGTAAACACTAGTCCACATCCTTATAGGTAGGTAAGTATATACTACGTATACCACTTGAACTTTAGTAAAAAGAAAATATGGCTTTCACAGATTCACAGAGTGATTAAAAAACCAAGAAGAAGGAGAATAGGCTCGAGGGTTCCTAAAATAACAGGAAACATGGTTACCCAAGACATACCCATCCAAAAATGAACCTACTAAAAATACCTTGACCCCATAGACTTCCCAACCAAGATCAGTGGGTGGTCAGGGTATTTAGCTACTTCATTTCTTATAACATCAAGATGAAATTCAACCAACTTTTCGGCCTTGGGAGGAGCCTTTCTTTTTCCACCTGAGATGTCTGCAGAGTAAAAAACTAGAGTCTTTAAGCTACATTCACATTTAAGATCAACTAGAGTGCTGAAGAAGTACCATTGCCTATTTTAAGATATTATAGATAGCAAACAACATTTTTTAAAAAAAAATATTGCCACGAAGGTATAATAAATATATTGGTAGGTGCATAGCCTTACAAGGGTAGTCAAAAGTTACTACATCAATTGCATTCAATGCCTTGGACAACATATTTTTCCATCTGCATATAATAGTAAAGAGTTAACATGCCATAAGATATACGGAGTAGATGTTTACTTGAATAAGAAATCAATTCACATGCTACACAGCAATGGTTAGTTGATAATTTTATTTTCCCCTGCATTTGCATCACTGAGTCAATGAAAATTAAATTTCATCGGGAGTCTCTCAAGTGAAAGAAAAGGCCTTGATATTTCCTGGAGAAAATGCATAACTGAAACAACCTTTCACCCTTTTAGCTCAAGAACGCAAAAGCAAATGCATGCACCTGACCATCCATTCAGATGTGGAAGGAGCACCAGCGCCATGAGCGAACACCACGAGAGGTGAATTCTCCTTTCCATTTGTTACTGAGCTCTTAGACGTGGTAGTATCATTCCAACCTGCAACAGGTGTTTCTTCCCCTTTTTGCTTTTCTACTGTTATTAGCCCGCCATCGTGGACCCGCTTGCGCTTTGAAGCTCGTCTAGGGGCCATCCTCCACTCTTATGGATGATAAGACACTTGACAAGACGAAGTTCTTCGAGACATGGGGTTCCCAATTTGAAAAATGGAGCCCTAATTTTGCTGAAGAATATCAATGCCACTGATTTTCGCGCCAAATATCTGGTTGGTCTGGAAAGGTGAAGACTACAATGGGCTGATGAATGAGCTAACGTGGGATTATTTGTTCCAAACTTAGATATTTCTAATACAATATCCAAAGATTTAAAATGACTAAAATAATACCCAAAGACAAATACTCCGTCCCCTTTTAAATATCTCATTTTATCATATTGGGATGTCTCTATTTAATTGTCTCATACCTTATTTGGTAAAGTTGTGTGGCTCAAAATCGTTCTTACTTTATTCTTACTTTATCAATTAATATCAACCACACAAACCCACTTTTCTTAAAACTCGTGTCACCCTCTTCCGGGACATTTAAAAGGGGACGGAGGGAGTATATTTCATTAGTCCTTTATAACTTTATTATCTTTCCTTTTTTTATTATCTTAGAAATTTTATCATTTTCCCTTTAATCATTTCCTTTGTGATTCTTATTATTTTTATCTTCTCTACACAATCATCAATCACACAATATTTACTTTATTATTTTTTGAGTCAATCAAAATTGACAAGGTTTTAATGGACGGAGGGAGTACTCTACAATCATTGCAATTTTCATGCTCTCAACGTCCTAATATAAAAGGCACATATTCCTTTTTGGTTCGTCCCAATATAAAAGGCACATATCCCTTTTTGGCAAACAAAACAGTGTCAAACAGTGTCCAAACAGTGGCAAACAGCGTCTAAACAGTGACAAACAGTGTCTTAACTGTGTCTAAACAGTGCCAAACAGTGTTCCTCCTAAAAATGTTTGAAAAAGAAAATGTGCTCTTTATATTGGGACGGAGGGAGTATATTACTACATCCGTCCCCCTAAGTTTGGGACAAGACTACAAGAGAAGGTGACACGGTTACTAATAAAAGTGGCAACATTAAAGGGAAAATGATAAAATTTCTAAGATAATAAAAAAAGGAAAGATAATTTCAAAGGTGACACGGAGAAATTTTGGAGTGTTATGCAATGAAGGTGATACCGAGAAATTTCTAAGATAATAAAAATTAAGGCTTTGGAGTGTTATGCAATGAAATGCACACTTGTAGTGGAAGACTTAAAGTTGCATCTATATTCTTTCATTCTACACATTATTGTATTTCACTTTTTATAAGGTGTTCTGTTTGTGTTCATGCATTCCTTCCTCTTCCTTATGAATTGTAAATTGATAATCAAGGTTTGTTTGAATTAATTTTTCTATCATTGATTCCTGTGTTGCGGATTTAATGACTGATACAAGCGACAATATTGTTTCATGTGCAATACAAGATGCAAGCATGATTGATGCAAAAGAAGAAATATTGTTCTGTCTTCAATGCATGATAACTTGTAGAAGTTGAATTGATATGCAATTATCAGCAAGTCTTATATTTCCGTATTGCTTTTGAGTATTATATTGAATTTCATTGTTTACAATATCTTTTTATTTAAATATTTTTTTCATAAATATTAATGAAATAAAATTTATTTACTCAAAATGAGTAAAAATTACCACAATGTAGTGTCATAGTCACTTAAGTGTAAAAATTGAACAGAAATTGTTATAAGTAAAGTTACTGTTATGCATTTAAAAGGTCATATTTTTGTAATTAATTTTTATTTTAATCATGAATATGTAATTATTTATTTATCTAATCTATGGATTTCATCTAGACGATGAAGAAGGTATTGATTTGAGTGCGTGTAAAGTGGTAATTATACTTAATAAGGAGATGTATGTATCACTTTTTTTAGTACGCGTATATGTTGTCTTTCTAATGGAAAACGTCTATATTGATATTAAAATGATCACAATTCTTACATTTCGTTCCAAACTACTACAGTACCCGTGTATACGCACGGGAAATAGCAGTTGGTGCATATATTTTTACTCATAATCTAATTAAATGTTAAATAAAAATAAGTTTGTAGTACAATAAGCTAACACCATAAGTATAAGCCCATATAATAAATATTCAAAGAAAAGTATATTAGGAAAAATTAATTGACACAACTAATTTGAATTTATTACTTATTACTTTTAATGATTAAATTAATTTTAATATTAAATACTATTCTAAAAAAAATTCCTACACTAAGTGAGGGACATAAAGTATAAGTGATTATAATGAATATTAAAATTAACGAATATTAGTTAAATAAGAACTTGTTACTCATTAGTTAAATTAGTGCTAGCATATGAGAGAGAGAAATATAATGCTCAATTCTTAGTCGGTTTATCTTATACTTAAAGAACAACATATGAGAGAAAATCCGCACACTCAATTGTTAGCTGGATTTTATCTTATACCTAAAAACACTACATATGAGGAAAAATTATATTGCTTAATTATTAGTTGGTTTATCTTATACTTAAAAGAACTACATATGAGGAAAAATTATATTGCTTAATTAATAGTTGGTTTATCTTATACTTAAAAGAACTACATATATGAGTATTCCCTCGCTCAATTATCATCAAGCTTACCTTATACCTAAAAGCATTACATATGAAAGAGAGAAATTGTCCTGCTTAATTGTTAGCGACTTATCTTATACATAAAAGAACTATATATGAGAGAGAAAGTTCTTCCGTTCAATTATTATCAAGCTTATCTTCTAATACTTATAAGCACTAAATATGAGAGAGAAAATTATTTCTTTGTTAGTCGACTGGTCTTATACCAAAAATCACTATATATGATAGATAAAATTCTAGCTCCCTCTCAATTGTTATCTAGATCATTTTATTTTATACCTAAAAGCACTGCTTATGAGAGAGATACATCTCTCGCTCAATTGTTAGACGGATTATAGCTTAATCATTCTTATTTCTAAAATATTGAATCTAAAATCACTATATAAGAGAGAGAAAATTTTTTCGCTCAATTGTTAGTTGGCTTATCTTAACTTATACTAAAAAGCATTACATATATGAGCAAAAATTATCCCGCTCAATTGTTAGGAATTTTATCCTCTTATACCTAAAAGTAATATAAATGAGAGAGAAAATTATTCCGCTCAATTGTAAGTCAACGTATTTTATACTTAAAAGACCTACATATGATAAAGAAAGTTATACCGCTCAGTTGTTAGCAAACTTATCTTCTATATATAATAACTAAAAGTACTACATATGAGAGAGAAAATTATTCCCCTCAATTCCCCCGTTCAATTGGTAGCAAGTTTATTTTCTAATTCCTAAAAACAATACATATGTGTGATAAAATTCATTAGCTCAATTATTAGCAATCTTATTTTCTTATACCTAAACTGGTACATATGAGAAAGAAAGTTTTCCCGTTCAATTGTTAGTCGGCTTACCTTATACCTAAAAGCACTATAAAAGGAAGAGAAAAATTCTTCCGCTCAATTGTTAGCCGGCTTATCTTATACTACCTCCGTCCCTTAAAACTTTGCCAAGTTTGATCGGCACAAAGAATAATAAAGTAAAAATTATGTGGTTAAGTTTTGTTTAGAGGAGAAAGAAATAACAGGAACCACAGAATAATTGATTAAAAGGGAAAGTGACAAATTTTATGGAACGTCCCAAAGAGGAAAGATGACAAAGTTTTAGGGGACGGAGGGAGTACTTAAAAGAGCGTACTATATGTGAGAGATAAAGTTCTTCCGCTCAATTGTAAGATATTTATCTTCTTAATAATAATAATACCTAAAATCACTACATATGAGAGAGAAAATTCTCCCACTCAATTCTTTCGCTAAATTGTTAGCAATCTTATCTTCTTATACCTAAAACCCTTGCATATGAAAGAAAAAATTCTTCCGTTCATTTGTTAGCCGGCTTACCTTATACCTAAAAAGCACTCTATATGGGAGAGAGAAATCATATGCTCAATTGTTAGCGGCTTATCTTATACTTAAAAGAACTATATATGAGAGAGAGTTCTTCCGCGCAATTGTTAGCTGACTTATCTTAACTTACACTAAAAAGCACTACATATGAGAGACAAAATTTTCTCGTTCGATTGTTAGCAAGCTTATCTTCTTAGCTTCTTATATCTAAAAGCAATACAAATAAGAAAAAAATTATTCCGCTCAATTGTCGGTCGGCTTACCTTATACTCAAAAAACCTACATATGAAATAGAAAGTTATCCCGCTCAATTGTTAGGAAGCTTGTATTCTAATACCTAAAATCACTACATATATATGAGAGAGAACATTATTTCCCTAACTCCCCCACTCAATTGTTAGCAAGCTTATTTTTTAATAACTTAAAGTCTTAAACAACCACATATGAGAGAGAAAATTTACCTGCTCAATTGTTAGCAAGATTATCTTCTTATATATACATAAACTCTTACCTATGAGAAAGAAAGTTCTCCCACGCAAGAGTTAGCCATCTTACCTTATAGCCAAAAACACTACATGTGAGAGAGAAAGTTATCTCGCTCTATTGTTAGCAAGTTTATCTTCCGATACCTAAAAGCACTACATATGAGAGGGAAAATTATCCCCTCGGTCAATTCCTCGCTCAATTGTTAGCATGCTTATCTTGTAATTTCTAAAAACACCACATTTGAGAGAGAAAACTCTTCCGCTTAATTATTAGCAAGCTTACATTCTTATACCTAAAACTCTTACATATGAAAGAGAAAGTTCTCCCGCTCATTTGTCAGTCGGTTTACCTTATACCTAAAAACACTACATATGAGAGATAAAAATCTTCTACTCGATTTTTAGCGGATTATCTTATACTTAAAAAACTATATACTACGAAGAGATTTTTTTTCCTTTGAATGGGTAGCAAGCTTATTTTCAATATAATGATGATAACAATGAAAGAGTTCACCACTAACGATATTATTTTTCGGGTTTACAATGCATGTAATATTGCAAATTTTGTTATTTCTTTAGCAACTCTGACATTATTTTAGTATTGCAAATATATATATTGACATTTTTTACATTAATTCATTTCTTTTACCATTATGGTATTAGTTTTTCATGGTGACATTTCTTTTATAATATGTTTCATTTTATCTAACATCCTATACTAAGTTTTATTATTTCCAATAGTGATGATGTGATTCACCGATAATACTCACATTCATATACG